CCAGGTTTATTTTATAGGGGAACTGGTCCAGCAGCCAACCCCCTCTTTCTGGGAGCTCTGTGTGCTGCTGAGGTGGAGGTTCGCCCCCATCAGAAGAAGCTCGGGCTGAGTTCTGAAGCCTCATTCAGGAGCAGCTTGTGTAAGCCTGCTCATGTGTTTAGGAGCAGACAGCTCCCAGCCAGGGGCTTTCCGGAGCTGGAGCACTGAATCTTAAAAGACCACAGAGATGAGAAACATCCCGAGGTGTTGTCGTTGGGCAAATGCTCCCCCGCCTGTAGCCAGAGTGCTCACTCCCTAGCCCACAGCCCCTTTGCCACATCAGCCCTCATAGGAAGCTCCCTGTCTCCTCAGGACAGATGCACCTTGGGTCCTCCTGAGTGGTGTCTACTGCTGACCTCAATCACTGCCCAGGCATTCAAATCAAGTTTAAAGTAGCCAGGCAGCACAGCCCAGCTAGACCGATTCCCACCGCCCCCCAATATCCCCTGATACCCAACATTTCAAACTCATCTGGTTAAACCCTCTACCCACAGATGGAGCTCCTGGGGACATCTCCTACCAATGCCTTTTCCTTCTCCCTGATGCTCCATTTTCGTTACAAGTCTAAAGGAGGGTGCATTTATACCGGTGTGTTGAGAAAGCTTCGTGAAGACACTCCTTTAAATCCATACATTGGTAATCATATATGAACTTGATTAGATTTACCAAAAAACAACAACAAAACGCACAGCCCAGAAACCTCTTCCCCAAGCTAAGGTGGATCAGCTGCGTCCACCACAGAGCTTCAGCTCTGGGCAGGTGACAGCAGACCCCTTGGGCTCCCACTGGTCTCCTGTCCCCCAGCGTCTTCCCCAGGGGACCTCCAGGAGGCCTGGGGAACAATTTGGGAAAAGACAAAGACGCCATATCAGCACGTGTGGGGCTGACTGTTTTTACACAACACTCAACCCCAAAGAAGAAGGTCAGTGTTTGCACTGGGTGGGGAGAGAGGGGTGGATAATATTTTTGATGTAGCAACTGATGTGAATGATTTATTCGATAATGCTTATTTACATGGAAAGACGTTTGAGTATATGTTGCTAAGTGAAAATTAAAATCACAATACATATAATCCCATTCTTGGGGGAAAAAAAGAAAAAGTACCTTCCTGCCTATCTTCCTCTTGTTACTTACAGTTTAAAAAAATGAGGATCGAAGTTGTCCAAACAAAATACTGATGTGAATTTTTGTTCCCAGTACTTCAAATATTTGATGCTTCAGGAGCAGGTGATACAAGAAACTTAACAACCAAACCAAAACCAAACAAGAAACCAACAACATTATATTTTAGGATTCGAAACCCAAAGCTCTGAATGTGTGAAATTCACCACCCACCCCAAAAGCCTGAAACTCTGGAGGCCTCCAGGCCTCAGATGTGCCATCAGCACTATATCTGAAGGCTTCTGCTCAGAAAGAGCCAGCTTTTCTCCACCTTCCCCCAGCTCCTAAGACTTGTAAAGTTCCTCCAGGCTAGAGGAAGAAGAGGAATGGAGGAGAAGCAGGAGGCTGGTGGGGCTTCTGAGAACGGGCCTTGTCCCTGGCCCCTCAGCCCCTCAGCCCTGGCTTGGCCTGAAGGTGGGAGCCCAATAGCCCCATGAGCTGGGGCTTCTGAGAGCAGAAAAGCCCTGCTCCCTGGCTGGGGTGGCAGCAGAAGCAGCGGGTTGAGATGCCTGCATGGAATGTTTGAGCAAACCCCTCCCACCTTGGACAGCCTCAGAGGCTGAGCAGGAGAGCCAAAGGCCCCCAGTGTGTCCAAGAGGGGGCCCAGCTGTCCCCCTGCCTTTCCAGCCATGGCTGGGGCTCCTCAGAGCTCTGTCAGACCTGCTGTTGGATGGCCCAGGATGTGGACGCAGGGCAGCAAGTCTCCGTGTGGGGTGTTTTGTGTACTCGCTGGTGCATAGCTCTCCTACAACCCTAGGAGCTAAGCGTTCTCCTCACTTACAGATGAGGAAACCACAGCTCAGAGTCGCACTGAGTGGAATTCAGACTGTGGTCTGATTTCTGTCAGCTTCCTCTACCTTCAGCACCCCCAAGTTCTCTACTCGTTGGGGACAAAAAGAGCCGAGTTGGCAGTGCCATAGCGTTTACCCTGGGCCAGGCCCAGGGCAGCAAAGCCAGGCTGGTGGACGGAAAGAAGAAACCACTGAGCCACCCTCTCTCTTAAGTACAGTGTTCTGTATTCAAATGAGATGGCACAATCTCCATGAATAAAATTGCAGTTCCCGAAGGGATCACGCCCAATTTAAATGTGTAAGAGGCCATTAACAGGCCAGGCTGGCTATTAGAATTTAGCTCTCGTCATCTGTGCTGTGGTTCTGCTGTGAGGCCAGGGGCCTGGGAGGCATGAGGCACAATAGGTCAAGCTGCCTCGAGGACCCCCAGTCTCTAAAGCCTGGGTCCTCAGGTGGGCTGGGTGCTGAGGACCTGTGGGGGGGCATCCAAGTTGCTCTGATGTGCCCTCCTGAGAGTTGGTAAGCTTTCTTCTGTCCCACTCTGAATCGGCCCCAGCCCCCTGTCATCCAGCTGACTGACCTTGACAAACCCTTCAGGTGGGGTTCTTAGCGCAGACCTTGACTGGAGTGCAGCAAACAAGGGGTCCTGAGGATCAACAGCTGAGGAAGGGAGGAGAGAAAACTGGCATGGACAGAGGGAAAGCTGAGCTGCCAGGCAGGCTTAACAAGTTGGGGGCCCCTGAGGCTAAAACGGACTGTCAAGGTGTCCCCAGTTTCAGGGAGCTGAGTCGGCCAGGCCTTTGGCACCTCACATAGGTGGGTCCCCAGATATGGGCTGCCCGGCGAAGGGGTGTGGCCTTGGGCTGGGTGAGTCTGTGCAGTGGAGACATCCTGAAGGGCAGAACATGTGCCCAGCATGCAGGGGATCAGGGCAGGCAGCAATACTGACCGGGCCTCAAGGCCCCAGGGGAGAACGAGAAAATATACGGAAAGCCTAAGCTCAGGGCCGGCACATGGTAAGGGCTCAAAACACGTCAGCCCCTGTGTTATTTCCACCCTGACCCAAAGCACAGGATGCTCTCGCCACTCCGCTCCCTCAGCCTGCCCCTGCTCCCCGGCATCCAGAAGCTGCCAGCCTCTCTCGCACATCTCCACTAAAGGACAGACCGCTACTTCCCAAGTCAGCCCAAGTCCCTGTGCAACAACTCTTTTGTCTTTATTGTGGGGAGTGTACACAACATAAAACATACCATTTTAACCATCCATAAGCGTATAGTTTAGTAGCATTAATCCCATTCATACTGTTATGCAACTCTTACCACCATCCATCTCCAGAACATTTTTAACTTCCCAAGCTGACCCTCCATTCCATTTCCCCTCTCCAGCCCCTGGCAACTACCATTTTCTGTCTTCATTAACTTGATTGCTCTAGAGACTTCATATACACACAATCATACTGTATTTGTCCTTTGGTGACTGGCTTATTTTAATTAACATAATGTCTTCAAGGTTTTCATAATGTTTTCAATGACAGAGCGTATGCTGGAATTTCCTTCCTTTTGAAGGCTGGATAATATTCCATTATCCGTGCATAGCACATTTGGTTTATCCATTCATTTGTGGATAGACGGTTGGGTCGCATCCACCTTTTAGCTATTGTGAATAATGCTGCCATGAATGTGCAATATCTCTTTGAGTTCCTGCTTTCTATTCTTTGTGTTATATACCCAGCCATGGGACTGCTAGATCATATGGGAATTCTATGTTTAAGTTTTTGAGAAAGCCCCACACTCTTTCCCACTGCAGTGACCCCATCTTTGTTGAACGGCTCTGACCACGAGAAAACTCTTACAGGTTGTGCTTGACTCTGCCTCCCCATGACTTCCTGCACTGGCTCTGGCTTTACCTCCAGAGTCACGTGTCCTTCATCTGCCCGCTGTGCCCTGGTTGGCCCCCCTGGGCTCTCTCTGCTCTGGGCAGATCTCCCCCAGTTCCCATACCCCCAAGCTCCGTTCTCCCCACACACATATTCCCAGGGCCCCCCTCTAACTGGCTCCTGCACAGAAGCACATTTTCTCTTGAGAAGCACCCCCATTTGGGAAACTCCAGGCCACCCTGTTGAGGGGAGAAGCAGTCTCAGCATTGGGAATGAGCTCGCCATAGCACTTGGAATGAAATTCAGTCCCAACTTAGCCCACCCCACCTTCCAGCTCCTTCTCTCCCTATCACCTCCTGACTTCCTCTCCCTCACTCCCCTCCAGTCACACCAGCCTCTGTCTGCCCTCCTCCCAGCGCAGAGCCCGCCTCATTCCTACCACCCAGGTCTCTGCTCAGACATCACCTTCTCAGGGAGACCTTCGCTGACCTCCTGGAATGATGGGCCTCCACCCGGACCCTGTCACCTCACCTTGCTCGACTTCCTTCACCGAGCTCACCACTGTTCTCCAGCACCTAAGTCCACCAGACCAGGCCCCGGCTCATTCACAGCTGCATCCTGGTGCCTGGAATTGTGCCTGGCACAGGGGAGATACCCAAAGGCAGCTGTGGAAGGAATGGACAATGCCAGGAACCAGTGTCTGCCCCCCCCCACAGGCCCTGCTCTCTGTTCCTGGCCTGGGAGTCTGAGCCCTGGGTGTGGCCCTGGACAGGGCCCCCCCCCTTGGGGACTTACTCCCCTCTGCTCTAGGGCATGACCTTGACCGAATCACCCCTGACCTCTCTCCCCGCTTTTCTGAGTCTCCTAAGTGCATCACCCCTAACAAAGAAAATGATCTGTGAACAGAGGTACAAATGTATCCTAAAAAATCCTAAAGACATTTTACCTGTTTGAAGAGGTAACAGAGATTTAAGTGTTTTGTTTTGTTTTTTTAAAGATTTTATTTATTTATTTGACAGAGAGACACAGCGAGAGAGGGAACACAAGCAGGGGGAGTGGGAGAGGGAGAAGCAGGCTTCCAGCTGAGCAGGGAGCCCGATGCGGGGCTCAATCCCAGGACCCTGGGATCATGACCTGAGCCGAAGGCAGACGCTTAACGACTGAGCCACCCAGGCGCCCCAACAGAGATTTAAGTTTGTTTGTTTGTTTGTTTGTTTGTCTGTTTTAGTAATCTATACACCCGGTGTGGGGCTTGAACTCACTACCTGAAGGTCAAGAGTCACATGCTCTTCTGACTGAGCCAGCCAGGGACCCTGAAGAGGTAACGTAAATTTAAAATTTAAATTTTATTCTGCTCTATCATTTTCCTAGATGAGACTGAAAGTTCCTCCACTACTCAAAAATCTTTAAAATACCTAACTTCAGTTTTTGAAGGGACTAAGCCTATCTCTTCATCGTTCCAGAAGGTTCCTGATTTCACTGTCCTTGACACATTTTCACCTTATTAAGGCCACCCCAGAGGGATAGTGCGTGTGTGGTGGGCGGAGTTATAGCATCACCGAGAGCAACGATCTCAAATCAAATAGAATAAAACAAAAGAATACTTCAATGGTGACGAGGTGGTGACCTCAGCTCCTGCAATGGTAGTTCTCAAGACACCTGCCCTAAATGTCAAGCCCACGTGTATTCTCACCTGCTGTGCCCATGAGCAGGGTGCTGTGATGGTCTTTCTACTGCAAAATAGTGAAGCCAGTCCAGGCCCAGGGCTGTGGACCAAAAGAGCAGCAGGGCTGTTGCCAAGCAGGCGCTCAGCCCACTGGAGTCTGGGGCCCAGGGTGGGGCAAGTGGGGAACGCGCTCTCCTGGCTGGGGGAATGCAGACTCTGCCATGGGAGGGAGTGCCTCCTTCATCTCTGGCCCCTGAATGTCCCTGGCCCTGGTCCACCACCTTGCTGGAGGCTGAGCGCCCAGTAGGAAGGATACTGGACACAGCTCAATAGATGTGAGTTCAAGTTCTGTCTTTGCCACCATGTGTGGATGTGTAGATGAGGCACACCTTGACTCTTGTCCTCACTTTCCCCATTTATAAACCAAGAGCGTTAGAATGATCATTTCCAAATTTCTCTCTGTGTACGATTTTTCCTTTATTCCTGGCCTTGCAGCCCCTGGAGTAGGGGAAGCCAAAATCCATAGGGTCATACAGTGACCCTGTCCTCACTGAGCTCAAAGTTTGGATAAAGAGGTGAATATGGGTATTAATACTACATGGTGAGAAGGAGACTTGTGTGGTCCAAGGAAGTGTTCCAGAAGCTCAGAATGGAGGGTCTTCTGCAGCTGAGGAGACCAGAGCTGCTCCCTAGAGGAGGCAGGACTAGAGCTGAGCCTGTAATCTTTGGAGGATATGCATATGCTGAGACAGAAGGGAGGAGAATTACTGCAGAAGAGGCTGGGGTGGGAGACTCAGCATCCCTTAGCCAGGACAGGAAATGGTTCAGGGGGAAATACAAAGGAGAAAACAAATGAAGTTCATTGGTGCCCCAGTAGTCTGGAGCAGGGAAGACCGTTGTTTGGGCTTTGCTCATTTGTGGCATCAAAGTGTGAAGAAAGGATTTTTTTGCCTCATGTCAATAGCGGTCTTTGGCCATAATAGGGGCTTGTTCTGATGGTGGCACAAATGTTTGGGTCGAATCCTCCAAAAAAGAAGTCGATGGGCCCATTGCTACCTCCAACATGAGAGCCTTGAGTGGGACCAGCCTGCACTTTATTTTATGAAAAGGCATGTTTAGAAAAGTAAGGTAAGACCATCACAGGAAATTTGAAAAAGAGAAAAGGGGAAAAATAAAATTATTCCCATACATCCCTTAATACCACCCCTGAGATACTGGGTGTGTTTCCATTTAGAATTTTCCATAAGTGTGAGTGGGCATGGGCTACTGCTGTGTATCTTATCACATGGTAGAGATCGTATTTCATGCACATTTTTATCCAGCTTTTTCCAGGTACTTCCCTGTCTCCTCTCAGTAATACCTCTGTACCCATTAGCTATTGCTGAATAACAACCCAACTCAAAATTCATGGTTAAAACAAGATTTATAATTTCTCTTGAGTCTGTGGATCAAATGGGCCATTCTACTGGTCTGAACAGGCTTAGTTAGTCTTGACTGGGGTTGTTGATGCATCTGTGCCCAGCTGGTGGCTCAGCTGATTGGTCTAAGATAGCCTCACTCACACGTCTAATGGCTGGCCAGCCACTGCCTGGGCAGCAAGGGTGACCACACCCTAGATCTTACCACCATCACACTCTGTTGGTCAAAGCAGGTCTTGTGAGCATCCAAAGTCAGAGTGAGAGGGACTACAAATTTTAGGGTCAAGGACATGGATATAAGGATGCCAGTAACTGCAGTATCATTGATTGCCATCAAGCTATCACGGTCCTCATTTTCATAGCTGCCATGTTTGACAGCAGTAGAGTTTTTCATAGACGTACCACTTTTCATAGATGTATTATTACATGGGGATGTACTACATTTAATTTGTTTAATGTCTTCTCTAATAACACCTAAGTGACCCATGTGTTACAGCCTTCATCTTTGAGGTCAAGAAAAGCAATATTTCCCACCCTTAATAAAAAACCCCCAAGGTTATGGGGTACCTGGCTGGCTCAGTTGGAAGAGCATGTGACTCTTGATCACAAGCTTGTGAATTCGAGCCCCACATTGGGTATAGAGATTACTAAAAAAAAAAATTATTTAAAAAAAACCCCAAGGTTAAATGAGAAGATGGAGCCAAAGTCTTCCCCAGGCCCCGTACAAGCAACACCACCTGCAGACCTTCCTATGTTCTTCATCCGACTGAATTCAAATGTGTCTATTCTCAGAACAAGTACCAGCTGTTGAAACCATTTGCAAGAGTCCCTTTCCATCACTGGGCCTTGCTTTCCCATCTATAAAACTAGAGGGTTGGACTAAATGGTTGGGGGTTGGACAAAAACTGCGTTTGGCCAAAAATGTCACTCAGGTAAAAAAGCCAAAGAGGTATCTGTGACATCCTTCTTACGTGTACTTTTAAATACACAAGAAACACGCAAAGCACACCTGCATCATTCTCCCTTCCTTGCAGTGACCCACCTTTAAGAAATGGTGGGTGCAGAGCAGAGGGGGCAGCAAGAGAGGTGCCGGCTGGTGGGGGTGAGGGTGATGTTAGATGTGCATCTCCAAGCCATGCGGCCATCACAGGGCTGCCGATGATTGCTGGTCTCTGTTCAGTGTCTTGTCTTGTAATCTCAACATGTATTTGTGACCTTGCTCCACGTTCATTGTCTGTAAAATACACTATAAAATTTAATTCCTGTGGTTTGCGGCTGAGTAGAGAAGCTTTTAAAAGAAAGCAGTATGCATTCTAGCTCATGAGCTCTTGTTATCATTTTTAAAGACTTTATTTTCTTAGGGCAGTTTTAGATCATTTCAGTTTTAGATTCAACTTAGCAAAATTGAAAGGAAGGTACAGAGAGTTCCCATATACCCCCTTTCCAACAAATGCACAGCCCCCCTCATTATCAACACCCTGCACCAGAATGGCTCACTGTCAACCAAGGGTGGACCTGCGGCTGACACATCATTATCCCCCAGAGTCCATAGTGCACATCAGGGTTCGCTCTTGGTGTTGCACATTCTCTGGGTTTGGACCAATGTATAATGACATGCATCTACCATTACAGCTCATACAGAGTATCTTCATTGCCTTAAAAGTCCTCTGTGCTCTGCCTATTCATCCCTCCCTGCCCCCACCCCCACAACCACTCATCTTTCTACTGTCTCCATAGTTTTGCCTTTACCAGAATGTCATATTGTTGGAATCGTACAGTATGTAGCCTTTCAGACTGGCTTCTTTCACTTACTGATATGCATTCAGGTTTCCTCCATGTCTTTTCATGGCTTGATAGCTCATTTCTTTTCAGTGCTGAATAACATTCCATCGTCTGGATGTGCCGCAGTTTACTTATCCATTCACCTCCCCGAGTACCTCTGGGTTGCTTTCAAATTTGAGCAATTATGAATAAAGCTGCTACAAACATCCGTGTGCAGCTGTTTTTTTGTGGACATAAGTTTTCAACTCCTCTGGGTTAATACCAAGGAGCTCGAATGCAGGATCATATGGTGAGAGTATGTTTGGTTTTGTAAGAACCTGCCAAACTGTCTTCCGAAGTGGCTGCACCATTTTGCACTCCCACCAGCAGTGTGTGAGTGTTCGTGCTGCACCACATCCTTGCCAGCATTTGTTGTTGTCAGTGTTGCAGATTTTGGCCCTTTTAATAGGTGGTTAGTGGTACCTTATTGTTGTTTGAATTTGCATTTCCCTGATGACATATGGTATGGAGCATCTTTTCATGTGCTTATTTGCCATCTGTGTATCTTCTTTGGTGAGGTGTCTGTTAAGGTCTTTGGGCTGTTTTTCATTGGATTGTTTGTTTTCTTATTGCTGAGTTTAAAGAGTGGTTTGGGTATTTTGGATACAAGTCCTTTATCAGATGTGTCTTTTGCAAATATTTTCTCCTAGTCAGTGGCTGGTTTTGTCATTTTAAAGTGCTCCCTGGGGACACCTGGGTGGCTTAGTCAGTTAAGCATCTGTCTTTGGCTCAGGTCATGATCTCAGGGTCCTGGGCTCAGCGGGGAGCCTGCTTCTCCCTCTGCCTCTCCCCCCTCTCGTGTGCACTCTCTCTCTAATAATGAAATAAAATTATAAATAAATAAATAAATAAAAACAAAGTGCTCCGTGGATCAAATAAATAGACTCCAAGCACTCTTTGAGCTCTAACAGCCGAGAGAAGGTGGGGAAAGGAGAGCCTGCTTTCTCTTCCTCCACTGTGTTCAGAGGTCACCAGTCCTCATGAGCTGGAACGGGCAGAGCTGTCCATGGTACATCTCAAGTGCCACTGCTGGTGATGGTCTTGTGCATTGCAGAGGCCCTGGGGATAGAACTGGCAAGAACTGGCAATGTCCTGGTTACAGACTTTTCCTGTCCGGTCTTCTGGAAGAGGTCTTTCTGACTCTTTGTGCTGGATGTGTGATTTTGTTTGCAAGTTTCCTTGAGAGAACCACTCCTCCCCAACTCCGTGAGGCTGTCCATCATGATGGCTCCATCCTCCAACTCTGGCCCTTTGAGGTAGATGGTCTCAAGGATCACTCTGCCCTGCCTCCTCAGTGCAGTGATCGGTTCAGGAGTGGGCATGTGATCAAGCAGCCAATCCATATCCTTTTCTGGGATTGTTCTATAGTCCCTGGGACAAAGGGGGGTTCCTCCAAGAGATTGGGAGATTGGGCCC